CCTATGGGGAAATTTCCTTTGGGTTACGACCAACTCGGGATACGCCCAGAGTCACGGAACGAATTAAGTTCGTATCCCGAGGTACCACTGTAATTGTATACTAAGCCAAATGAAGTCTTTTCTCATTTTTCCCTTTACTACCATTAGAACTTGTATTCTGGCAGCAAACGCATAGCTATAGACTTTAAAATGTCACCAGCATTTGCCACAGCAGGACACATTACCTGTCCACACCTGCTGGGTGCTTCCTTTTTTTGTCCCAGCTCTCATTTTTGCCTTTGGAGGCCCTGTTATCAGAGCTGTCCTTGGTCCCATTCCTCTGTTCCTCCTCCTTTTCTTTGTGGGCCTTGCTGAGGCGACCTGTACTGGGGAGAAGCAAATAGTTAAAAGGATTCTCCAACTCATGAGGGGAGCAGACATTTACTGCAGATTTTCACCCCAAGTTCTGAAATCAAGATGACTTTGTTTTATTACCCCTTAACATTCCCCAAAGCAGAACAGATCTAGTGCCCATGTGGGAGCACTGGGGAAGTCTACTTTAACTTACTTAAGTCTTTAGCCAGCTTATCGTATTCTTTCTGGGTAACAGGCCGAACTCCATGCTGACTCACAGTGACCACTTTGCTGCCGATTGCCAGTTTCACCATGATGCGAGCATTATCTCCATCAACACCTTCAATCTACGGAAGACACAAGGCCAGGCCCAGTAATTAAGTGAGTGTGGTATAATCCTTCTGGTGCTGGACTGAGACTAGGAAGCCTTAATTTCAAGTCCCCAGTTGACCCTGGTATTCACTGGGAAAATCTGAGGTGTTAATTTCTTTCTCAATTCAGTCTATCTCACAGGGTCACCATTGGGAGGATAAAATAAGAGTAAAACTCCCCACGTTAACTACTGTGAACCCTTACCAGAAAAGTAAATGTAATAATACATGAATAAGAAGTGCTATGAGATATGGATGGCTGATAAAAGACAGATCGTATCCAGGGAAAATAAAGGCTATGTCTGCGTTGAAACTGATTCAAGCCCTGTTTTATCAGGGCTTCCTCATTTTTTTTTAATTAAAGTTCTCAGTAGTTTGCAAAGCAAAGACCCTACATTTACACAGCGATTTCACAAGGAAATGAGTCGTAATGAAATTGGTGGCACCCAAATTTGATAAATAAAAACATTTCTCCAGTATTGTCACAGCAAAATTCATCAACAGGACACAAACAGGCTGAGCCTGTCTACCTAAGGCAAAGGTCGAGAGGTTGCAGAGAAATGCTGAGCTCCTGTTCCAAGAGAAGAGCAAAGGATTTCATTTATGCGCTACTAGATGACAAAGAAAAAGACTTCAAGGAAGCAATAAAATATTGGAAATCTGGCTCTGCCAGCCCTCTTCAGCAGTGCAGGATGGGTCTGCGGGCAGGAGCCACTTTCTGTTTTCCCATTCAGTCAAACACAAACATTGGCTTAAGTGGAAGGAAAAGGGGGTGGCTGGTGCTTGCCAGTTGTTCATCTGCAACTTCTGCTCACTCCCCTTCTCAGGTGGGTGTTTCCACTCATCTCAGTTCAGAGTCAAAAAACGGAATAGCTCAAGAAAAGCGACAGTTCACCTTTCCATACAGCTCTTTATGAGGCCCACTTTCAATGAAGACGGTACCTCCTGGAACCAACCCCAAAGGCTCATCTTTACTCTTTGAAGGTTCCTCGCCTGGCTTTGGGGGTCGCCGGGATCTCGAGGGCTGCAAGTCCTGGGCTGCTGAGCGGTCTGCTCCAAGGCCCAAGCCCTTGGGGCGAAGACGGTTCTCTGGTGGCTTCACGTCCCTAATGCAGGCAACCAAGGCAGAACAATGGGATGGAAGGGAAGAAGCTGGGCTCAGTATTTGTACCTACAAGAATGCAAAATTATGTTGTCTAACAGAAAAAGCCCAGGACAGAGGTGGAAGCACCTGGTTCGAAGCTTAGCGCAGACCTGATGATACCTTGGAAGGAAGTTCTTATAGAGGAAATATGGGATTTATAAAAGTTGTCATGCTCCTCCTACAATGTTAACAGCTCAAAGGCTTATATGACATAATTTAATTGTAAGACTTTAAAATTGGTGGCAACAAACCCTGTATTGCTATACAATTTCATGTGGGGTAGAAAGGAAAGAATCCATGCATGCATCCAGGAACATGGCCCAACCACTTTTTTCCATGCCCAAAGCTTGCCCATTCTGTCAAATAACTTTTTTACAATCAAATGCTTTAAGTCCTCTACAATGACATGTTTGTTTTTTTCTCTTGCTTCTGCTACAACCTCATAGGAGTTCTTGTGGAATTCTTTGCTGAAATCAAGGTGCACTGTGGCTACCATTTTCCTGTGGTTAAATAAATTGGCTGCTCACTCTATCAAATAAGGAGAACAGACTGGTTTGGCATGATTCATTACAGGTAGTCCTTGCTTAATGACCACTCATTCGCAACTGTTCAAAGTTACGATGGTGCTGAACGAGTGGGACTTACGACCAGTCCTTGTACTTATAACCATTGCAATGTCCCGTGGTCATGTGATCGCCATTTGTGACCTTCACTGACAGCTTCCCATTAGCAAAGTCAATGGGGAAGCCAGCAGGAGGTTGCAAATAGAGACCACATGATATCGCACTTAATGACCATGCAGGATTCACTTAATGACAGCAACTGGAAGTGCTGGAACTGCCGTCATAAGACAGAGTGGTCATGTGATGTCGCACTTTATGACCGCATCACTTAGTGATGGAGTTGCTGGTCCCAATTACCATCATTAAGCAAGGACTACCTGTACTGATAAATCCATGCCAACTTCTGCCAAGCAATGCATTCTTTTCTAAATGTTCACAAACCAGCTGCCTAATATGTAACACCAGACTGACCAGTCTGTAGTTATCCAAGTACTCTTTTACCCCTTTCTGAAGACAGGAACACATTTGGTCTTCTCCAATCCTCTGACCTTCATGATTCCTCTTTTTCATTTTGAAAAGTTTCTTTGTATGTAAGTGGTGGCAAATATTATTGCTACAATTATATCTAATAATACTGCTTCCAACACTTCAGGACACTTACTATTTTTAAATTAGTTTTAATTGAGTTTTTAAAGTATTTCAATTAGATTTCCTTAAAAAAATATTACACATTAATAATGTAACAATAATGAGCATACATGTAAAGAACACTTACTGCTTGAATGTGCGCCCAATACCCTCTCCTGCCTTCCAGCCCATGCCCTTCAACATGGCGAGACCATAAGCTTCTACTGGTACCTCTTCATAATCTGCCTCAGTTGACTACCAATGATACGTGAGGGAGAGGGAGAGGGAGAGGGAGAGGGAGAGAGGGGGAGGGGGGGAGAGAGAGAGAGAGAGAGAATAGGAATTAAACTATCTGAACTGGGAATTCTTAGAATAATATGCTTTTATTTTATTATTATATTTTTATTAATTAAATTTATATGCTACCCATCTCCCCCAGAGATTCTTTTATTCTTACCGATTCTGGGCGAAGGCTGACATCCACTTTGTCCCCATCTTCAAAGCCATCAGGCACACGGTTCACCATGAAGAGGGGAATTACAAAGTTGGGATCTACCTTGCTTCCACTTTCCCATTGCTCCTGTGATTTCTTGGATTCTAAACAGCAAGACCGGTTAACCAAAGCAGAAGAGCTAAGTCCAGAAAACTCAGAGTCCAGTATTTGTTTCCTAGGTCCAGTGGGGAGAAACTAGAGCTACTCAAATCCAAGGTGACCTGGATGTTCATTACAAGAGATTTTCCAGGAAAGTAGCAGTGAAGTATCTATTTTAGCAAGTTGCATATCTCACAGCCCCTACAGTATCTAACAGATTTCCTGTTTGTGGTCTTGAAGCATTGGTAATAACTTAAAGGCATAATCAGCAATGGTACTCAGGAAAGTTAGCATCAAATGCAAGCACAAACTAAGGTATACAGTGCTATAGTTCAACTGCATACTTACAAGGAATACCTCTAAGCACAGTCAACTCTCTCGAAGCTTAATGTTTAAGTTATCTAAGCATTAGAGTGTTAATAATCTCTAGTCAATACTGTATAAATACCACTGTACCCAAATAATATAATGCACTACTTACGTTTTATAATAATGCAATAAAACAATAAAAACCTACCCCCAATTTGGGCATGCTCATAAAAGAAAAAAAAAGATGTGGAGTAAGAGAGGGATGTACAATGATATTACTATTAATGGGAGTTACTGCAAAGAAAAAGATGGCTGATCTGAGCTTTGGGGTTTTCAGAGGGGCTGGGATGCAAAAAAGGAACTAGAATAACAATGAAATGGAATGAAAAGGAAAGGAAAGGAAACGAAAACACATCTCAATAGAGATTTTTTTTTTTAAGTGAACAATTGTAAGAGAAAAAGAAAATAAAGCAGGAGACACTATGAGAACTTTTGAGCACAGGTCAACAAAAAACCAGTATGGTGTAGTGCTTAAGGTGATGAACTGAAAGCAGGGAAACTAATCAGCTCCATTCATGGAAGCTCAGTAGGTGACTTTGAGACAGACATTCTCTTTCTCTCTCTCTCTCTCTCTCTCTCTCTCTCCCTAACCTACCTCACAGATTTGTTGTGGAGAAAAACAGAAAGAGGGAGTGCTACGTGTGCTGTCTTGAGCTCCTGAAAAGCAGGATATAAGCTAATAAATAACAAACAGGTCGTGTGATGGCCTGGAATAAAATACCTTCATCAGATGATGGCCAGTGGTATTAATCTTAACTTCACCAAGTGGAGAGTCTCAGAACCTCCATGCTATGGATATACTGATCCTAGCAAGAAAACTGTAAATCATCACTTCCTCCCAATTATGGTAATTCATATTTGTAGTGGATGGGGGTGTGGAACACGTGCATGGAGAGGAAGCTCAGGTTAAAATTCTAAGATACTAGTGACCATTATGGTATCCCTGCTCCATGTTGTAACAGAGGTTAGGATTATTTTCCATCAACATCACTGACAAACATTCTATTGATTTGTATTGTCGAAGGCTTTCGATTGATTTCTATTGATTTCTCCATAACTTCAGAATTAGCCAATTAGAAGTTGCCATACCAGGTTCCTGAGATTATAAATTGAAAACAGAGCATCTCATGTTCTGGCTTTTACAGGAGGACAAAGTTGCAGTTCTACCATGAATGGAACAATTAGCAAATGTTCACCTTCAATGAGCTCTTTGACTGCTTGTGCATCAACACCATTAATCTCATCCTGCTCCTGATGAGTTGCAGAGACCTCTGGCTTCTTCCATTGGTTCTTCTGGATCAAGGGAATGACAAGCTCTTTTGGCTGAGGGGCTGGTCGAACACTGCAGAGAAAGAAAGAAGATCAATAAGAATTGTGGCTGGGGCTTTTCTGTTCACAACATTGGTGGAGAAGTTTCACAAGGGCAAAACTAGTCAAGCACTATCCTCTCATAGAACTACAGCCCTTCTTTATGCTGGCAGGAAAAAAAAATCAGATTTTAAAGAAACTACATCAAACAGAGTGTCAATATTCCATAACACTTAAAATATACATATTGTCATTTTGGGCATACAGTAAAAACTTTACAAATCTGCACCCTTTTTCATTGCTTCACACTGCAAGGAAGCCTAGGCATCAGACTTGGGAAGAAAGTAGTGATTACTTAATGTGCAAGAATGAATTACTAAAAGAATTGATGGAGAGGAGCTTCTATGGCTCTTGTTCCTTTTTTGCCCACCACTACACTTAAAATCTCATACCCAAAAAAATTTTGCCTGGCCACAGACATAACTGATTGGTGCAATATCCTTGTTGTGAATACAGCATGGGGTACATAAACTTGCAGAGGTGACTGTCAAGCATCAATTGATAACCCTAACCTGTTTGGCAGGAAAAAGAATGCAAGATGGCCAAAATAAGCAGACATTGATTAGCGTGTGAAATTCACTGGCTGGAAAAACTTTTTGGTAGGCAAAAAAGAAACAAGTACCACTTCTATTGGATTTGCTGAAATGACAAGGAGCTAATACCACTGCATTTACAGTAAAGTTCTTTTCCCACAGAAGACAAAAGATAACTTTTATCCGTGTTATGATCCTTTCCCTGTCCTGCACATTATTAAAGACGGCTATGGGCCTATCCCAGATTATTTGTGACCCAACTCGGGGCAGTGGCCTCACGCCGGACTTGGTTTTCTTGTCAGAGCAGTGGCAATGTGATCTGAAGGAGGAATTACATATGTCCCCCTTGTCATGGTCAGATCATGCTCTGGAGGCCTTGAGGTTCTCCTACACTACCCCCCTCCACAGGGAGGCAGGACCTATTCAACTGGTCCGCCCACAGTGACTGATGGACCCAACTGGGTTCCAAAGGGAGCTGGGGGTTATATCTGAGGGTCTGCTGCACAGTCCAGCGGAGGCCTTGGCTGCTGCCTGGAATAGGAAAGGGGCCGAGGCCTTGGACAAGATCACGTCCGAGTGACCTCTCCTAACCCATCAAGCCTGACATTCCCTGTGGTTCACGGAGGAGTTGAGGGTCTTGAAAAGGATTAAGAGTCACCCTCTGGGGGAGATGGGTGGCATATTAAATAAATAAATAAATAAATAAATAAATAAATAAATAAATAAATAAATGGCATCTAGAGTGCCGCTGGAGGAAAATGAGAACTGAACACATGTTAGAGCCACAATTAAGGCCTACCCTGTGGCAGTAAGAGCAGCAAAACACCAACATTTCTCCACTCTTATTGCATCCGCAGAATGCCACCCAGCCGGCCCTGTTTAAGATCACCGGATCCCTTTTGGGAAAGGGGCCTGGTGGCTCATTTACAGGGCCGTGCAAAGGAGTTTTCTGGGATCTGGAGGATAAAATCACTCGCATCTGGTCCCAGTTGGATACCAAGCGTGCAACATGGTCTACAGAGATGCCCAGGGTACAGACTTTCCGTTATCTGAGAACAGTTTGATCCTGTTGAACCCAAGGAAGTGGACAGGGTCCTCCGAATGGTCAATGCCACCACTTGCCAACTAGACTCATGTCTCTCCTGGCTGGTTAAGGCTGCTTGGGAGGTGACATGTGGGTGGGTCCAGGTGATGGTGAATTCATCCTTGAGGGAGGGAGTGTTTCCAGCTGCCTTTAAAGAAGCATTGGTGCACCCCCTCCTCAAAAAGCCATCACTGGATCCCAACATACTGGACAATTTTCGTCCAGTCTCCCACTTCCCCTTTTTAGGGAAGGTGGTTGAGAAGGTGGTAGCGTTGCAGCTCCAGAGGATCCTGGAGGAATTGGATTATCTGGAGCCCTTCCAGTCAGGTTTCAGGCCTGGATTCGGGACGGAAACGGCATTGGTCGCACTCATTGATGATCTCTAGTGGGAGCGGGATGGAGGTAGTGTATCCATCCTTGCTCTTCTTGACCTCTCAGTGGCTTTCAATACCATCAACCATGGTATCCTTTTGGGTCAACTTAGGGAGTTGGGAGTGGGTGGTGCAGTTTTGTGCTGGTTCTTTTCCTTCCTCCAGGGTAGATCCCAATTGGTGTTGATTGGGAATGAGAGATCCAGTCCACGCCCCCTTCATTGTGGGGTGCCACAAGGTTCGGTACTCTCTCCACTCCTTTTTAACATCTACATGAAACCACTGTGTGAGATCATCTGCCACCATGGATGAGGTATCATCAATATGCCGATGATACCCAGTTATACATCTTCATCCCAGGTGACTTGAGTGATGCTGTGACCACCCTTTCGCAGTGCCTGGAGGCTGTGCGGGTCTGGATGGGGAACAACAGGCTTCAGCTGAACCCTGGTAAGATGGAGTGGCTGTGGATTGGAGGCCCTTCTGTACCCAAGAATTTACCATCTTTGATTTTGGATGGGGTGGCACTGCCCCAGACAGACCCGGTGCATAATCTGGGGGTCCTCTTGGACTCATGACTCCTGCTTGAGGAACAGCTGGCAGTCATGGGCAGGAAGGCCTTTGCCCACCTTCATGTGGTGTGCCAATTATCCCCCTTCTTCGATCAGGAGGCTCTCCGGTCAGTCACTCACGCCCTGGTCATCTCTCGGCTAGACTATTGCAATGTGCTCTACAAGGGGCTATCCTTGAAGAGTATCCAGAAGCTACAGCTGGTTCAAAATGCAGCCGTGCAGATATTAGGTGCCCCTAGGATGGCACG